CAGCGAGTTGAACCTAGCTGAGTATCGGATTCAGCTGTAAAGTGGGATTATAATTAGGACTTTAAGACAAGATTTAGGACTCATAACAAATTTCAATAATTTAGATTATTTGATAGTGACGCCACTCGTCACTAATGATGTGGTGTCAGAGGTTGTAAAACTGAAGCTACCTCTTGCCATTAGTAGCCCTCATTTTAGAGAGAGAAAGAAAAAAAGAATGGATTCTATTACTTTGCTAGAAAAACCTCATGCAGTTTGTGTACCATACCCAGCTCAAGGCCACATAAACCCCATTCTGAAGTTAGCAAAACTACTCCATAACAAAGACTTTCATATCACCTTTGTGAACACAGAGTTCAACCACAAACGCCTCCTGAAATCCCGAGGTCACGACTCACTCAATGGCCTCTCGTCGTTCCAATTCAAAACCATTCCAGATGGCCTTCCGCCATCGGATTCTAATGCCACCAAAGACATCCGCTCTCTTTGTGAGTCCACCACTAACAACTGTTTGGCGCCATTCAGAGACCTTCTTTCCAAACTTAATGAAACCTCTTCTTCAAGGGTACCTCCTGTTACTTGTATAGTTTCTGATGCTATCATGAGCTTCACAGTCGCAGCAGCTGAAGAACTGGGCATCCCTGAAGTTCTATTTTGGACCGCTGGTGCTTGTAGCTTCCTGGCGTCCACCCAATATGGTAATCTTATCCAAAGGGGTTTTACACCACTCAAAGGTACGACGAATATAAGACTCTAGTACCAAAATAGGTACTATATATATATATATAAACATTGAAGGTCAAGTTATAATTTATTAAAAAAAAAAAAAAAGGTCAAGCTATAAAGTTTGAAGGTCAGGTTACAACTTAAAAAAGTTGTGATTAATTATAAAATTTTATGATAAATTATGAAAAATACATCATAATTTCACGTCAGATAGCCTTCGAGATGTGCGTGTATTTAAATGGATGCGAGTGGTTGTGAGTCCCACTGATCAAAAAAAAAAAATTAGAACTGCCCATTGTGGGCGGGGGCCAAGTGACTCTGGTGTGGACTCAGTCGCCTCTCTCGTTCGGCCTGACCATAGGTTGGGTGAGATATTAGGGCTGTGTGTGTAGGGGTTGGGCTATCGCACGTCGGATAATTTTAGGTGTGTGTGTGATTAAATGGATTCCACCGTCCTCACACTTTTAAGTGTGAGTGGTTGTTGGTCTTACCGATCAAAAAAAATTATGAAAAATAAAATTATTAAAAGTGTAAATTAAATTTTTTAAAGGTCAAATTATAATTAATTAAAATTATTAGCATGTTACAATAAGTGGATTGAGAAATCATAATCAATGTGTAGAGATCACAAACGGCCTTTAATAGATTCTGTAGCTAAAGCAAATAAACTACTCTTCAAGGCTTTTATTTACACAAGTTTTTATTTTAACAAAGCATTTTGTGATTTTTATGAAGTGCAGATGCTAGTGACATAACAAGTGGATATTTGGATACAATCATAGATTTGATACCTAGCATAAAAGGTATTCGTTTGAAGGATATGCCAACTCCATTGAGAACGACCAACCCAAATGACTTTTTGTTGAAGTTTGTCGTGGATGAAGTTGAGCGTGCTAAAAAGGCTTCTGCGATTGTTTTGAATACATTCGAGGAATTGAAGCATGATGTTATTGAAACACTTTCGTCCATTCTTCCTCCAATTTATGCCGTTGGACCTTTACACATTCTCCTAAATCAGATTAAGGATAACGATTTGAAATTTCTTGAATCAAATCTTTGGGTAGAAGAGTTTGAGTGTCTTGAATGACTTGATTTGAAAAAACCTAAATCCGTGGTATATGTGAATTTTGGAAGCATCACTGTTATGACACAAAACCAACTTATTGAGTTTGCTTGGGGACTAGCTAATAGCAATCAAACATTTTTGTGGGTAGTAAGAACTAATCTCGTTACAGGTGATTCAGTTGTTCTTCCACCTGAATTCCTGAAAGAGATAAAAGATAGGGGCTTATTAGCAAGTTGGTCTCCACAAGAAAAAGTTCTTGGCCACCCCGCAATCGGTGGATTCTTAACTCACAGTGGATGGAATTCAACTCTTGAAAGTATAAGTGCTGGATTGCCAATGATCTGTTGGCCATTTTTTGGGATCAACCAACCAACTGTTGGTACTGCAGCACTCAACGGGGCATTGGCCTGGAGATAGATAGCGATGTTAAGAGAAATGAAGTTGAGAGCCTTGTGAGAGAGTTGATGGTTGGAGAGAGAGGCAAAAAGATGAAGAAAAAGGCCTTGCAATGGAGGCAAAAGGTTGAAGATGCCACTACAGGTTCAGCTGGGTCATCTTACATTAATATGGAGAAAATGATCAACCAAGTGCTTCTCTCACAGAAAATATTGGATTAATTTACATGTAGTCTTGTCTTTCCAAGTACTTTGAACCTAGTTTGGATCTTTCTGTCGTATGTTCCTCCATGTTAGGTGTTTTATCTGTGGCAGTATTGATCTTCAGAGCATATTAGTAATAAATATTGAAATAAAAAAGTGTTGTTTATGATGAAGAAAAAAAGATCTCTGGACCCAGTGCTTTGTTTTATTATATAGATTCTGATCAAGAAATTCTTGTTCCCTGGACACAGTGAACAGAAAGGACATGCATCTTACCTATCAAGATTTGTTTGAAAATATAATTACCACAATAGTAATACTATTTACACTTAAAGATCTTATCAAATCTCATGACTTAAAGATGTAATTTTATTGTAAATGTTAATCTAACACTAAATTTTAATATTTAATAGGACCCACGATTAATCCAAAAGTTATATTAAACTAGGTCAATAAATGAGATTTAAATTGCATTGTTCGTACCACAATGCCTCGGTGAAACATAAACATATATAAAAAAGATTGTGATTCTGTTGTTGAGTCGTCGGATGTGCACAACAATTGATGGGAGGAAAAATATGGTCAAGTTCCAAATTAATTTAACAAATAAGCTCTCAAGTGCATACTGCAAAGGGGTTGTATGAATTTCTTATAGAGTAATGTTATATAAATTTAAAAAGTAGACTTAAAAATTAGACTTGATAATCTCAACCATTGATATCACTATAGGTTCTAGCATTTATTGGGATTCGCTACATATTCAATGGTTGAGATTATCAAGTCTACTTTTTAAGTCTATTTAACATTACTCTTTCTTATAACCAATAATGGGAAAGATACAACAATTTATTGTCCGTGTAACCGAGGAGTATTTGGCGGCCACAATTTATTTGTGGTTAAACTCATAGGGGTAGCCAAATTTTGGCCTAATGATATCTCTGATCTTATAAAAGTTTTGTTTTCTTGAGGTCAAAAGTTTAAATCTGCTAATTGACAAAAGCGTGGTTGATTATTTAGACGAACTGTATCCAAGTCTCCGTTATTAGTTCGAATTCCCCACCGAGGTGCAAGTTTTGATTTAACTGGTATTTGAACCAAGGGACATGTTCATACACTCAAGGTTTGTCCTCAATTCTATTCAAACTCACAAATAGAAACGACATAAAAACTCTTTTACTCGTCAGGTATAGACCAGAGATTTTCCTCCCGTTTCTCAAAAATCTATTCTCCGTTAAGAAATGTTTAAATTTATATGAAATAAGAGATTGTCCACTTCTTTTAACAATTTTTCTAGTCCCAAAAACCATTTGTCTCAGTCGCTTTGCGGAAGCAAGTAGTTTCATTTCACATATTTTCCCCCACGTTCCATATGCTGAAATTCGAAAAATAAAAATAAAAACTCGCACTTGGTATAGACCTCTACACTTCAATTGACCTTCGGCAACTCAATGTGCTGGCCCAACCCAAATGGCTACCCCTATGAGTTTAACCACAAATGCAAAATCACCCTTCCGTTGACGCTTGGTTCAAACTAAGCACATAAGGTCCCCTCTGATCAGTTGATCCAGCCCATTGCATGTGGTCCCAATTAATAACAAAAACAGTTACCAGACTGAAGAATTATTTTTATTTTAATTCTCTGAAATTCAATGAAAAATGTAAGATTGATTACTTGCGCGGACGGAGTCAATATTTTTTTTTTAGGGGCTCAAATTTAATTGTGCAGAAATAAATTCACACAAAGAATAACCATCTCGTACGGATGGAACGGATGGTGAGTAAGCCTTGAGTAGTTGGAGGTCATCAAAGAGACTCCGACAAATAAATCCCCTATACTAATGTACAAAAATCTTCCCGACAATGTAAACTGTAGATATATAGTTAATCGATTTAAATTCTTGAAACACAAAAATATATCCAACAAATTAATACATGTGATAAAAAGATAAAATAAAGAAATGGAAAAAAAATTAAATATGAAAAAAAAATAGTTTTAAATACGTATCAATTTAATCGTATACTAATTTGGTACTCGACATTTTTTCTATGGAATTTATCTACACTTAAATCATATTATAGTTTTTAGCAATTTTTTTTCTACCTACCCCTTTAACAAAATTGTCTCATATGTTATTGCAAAGTTTTCTTTTGACAACATTCAAAGTGATATAATTAAAAAAAAATTAGGGCAAAATAAGTACGAAATTTTTGTATTCTAATATTCAAATGATCTTTATTGAAAATTGAATAGATTGAAAAAGTTAAGAATATTTTATTTCAAATTAAAAAAAATTTGGGACTAAATTTAATTGTTTAAAAGAAGTGATAGACTCAGACACTAATTAAATATTATTGGGTTCTCCTTACCACATCATTTGTGTCATCAAAATTGATGCTAATAATTGATTTTTATTTAATATTTGAATCTAATACATATTAGCTTTTTTGCCACATCATTTGTGCCATCAAAATTGATGCTAATAATTGATTTTTATTCAATATTTGAATCTAATACATATTAACGTTTGTTCATTATGTACAAAAATATTTGCAAACGACTCAATAGATCCACCAAAGAAGGATCACGCCCACAAGACCCGTGGGCATTCTCAAGCCATTACGGAACACTCAGAAGTATTCGGGTCAAACAAAGCGGGTAAAAGATATTTCCTCCCGTTTGCACCGTACGCATTATAGCTGGCTCCAGTAGCTGAATCTACTGACAACTCTCCAGCATAGCCCGGGTAAGCCCCCTTGCCGTACTTCCCGGTACAAGCCGAAGCCACCTCGAGTGGGGCGCCAGCCGAGCCCTGAAAATAGCCGTTTCCTAGAGGATTCGTTACAGCTCCGGCCAAAAGACTTGCAATATTTACCACCATGCCATCGCACCCAACGTCCCCGTTTGGCGCACCCAGTGGTGGAGTCTGTGGTCCATAAATGGGTTGATGGAATGGCCACGCGCATTGACCTGGGCACTGAGTCACCGAGTTACCAACCCAGATGAAAACCGATTTATCTATCGGGTTTGACCCATGAAACCCGCAATTACTCATGCAAAAGCCTTCTACTGAAATGTCTTCAGCTGTGAGAACAAGGGTTAACCCAGAGGGTTTTGAGTTGACCCGCTGAACCAACTTGGAAATGTCTGTCCGTTTTAGGGTTTTACCCAATGAACAGGTTTCATCTGTGAGTTGATTAGATAAGACAATAATGGTCTCTCTTTTGCCTGCTTTTATCATGTAGGTTTCAATGGTTTGCCACCACTGAGAGACTGAAGGGGCTTTAGGAGAGAGACCCTGTTGTGTTTGATGTGGAGTTAGAGAGAGAAGAAAGTCTACGATAATGGTCTTTTGGGCTGGTGAGAATTTCCCGTACCATAGGATAGAGACATGGAGGTCTCCTTCAAGCAAATCACCTTGATGGTAAGTTAAAACCATTGTTGGTGGTTGGTAAAGCGAAGCGAGCTTTCTTGCTCCAAAACACATTTTTGCAAAGCTTAGCTGAAGAAGCAGAATAAGAAGAAGAAGTGATTTTGTTTGGTAAGAGTGGGAAGAGGCCATCTTGATTTAAAATAGACACCGATTCAAAAGTTTGATATATAGATGTGTAAAGACTAAAGAGAGGGAAATATTTGTTTTTGGATTGAGTTGAGAGAGAGTTGTGGGTGCATTAAGAGAGTATATATAGGTGGTTTGGTGCATGAATTGGGTTAGTGGGTGTTTTCATGCAGGCTGCAGCCTTCGTAAACAGCTTCTGACAACAATAAAATATATGTATTTTTTTTTTTTGGGGGGTATTGGGAAGAATCTATCTTTATACAAAGTTTTATTGTTTAGAGAGTAGGAGACTTTACTGACGATCACACCTCGATTGTATGGCCAGATAATGGCATACATGGAGGTACAAAGAATGGGCGTGAGTTGGCAATCAATGGAGTCCCTCGTTGCATGTGTGTGAATCTGTTTCCTAGGCAGTTCCTGGCTTATTTCATTTTATTTTATAATGACTGGTGCTCTTGAATCAATGTATCCTTGTTAATTTAATCCACACACAATAATTTGTTCCACGCAATGCTTGCATGTACAGCGCTATCTAAGGGATAGGATTGGTTGTTCTACGATACAAGCAGTTCGGCTTGGTGTTAATTAATTCAAACTTGTTCAAATTATATGATGAATTAAATTTGATCTAATTTTTAAGTTTGTTTTATAAACAATCCAAATCTAAGTAATGCTTGTTTCGACTCAAACAGATATTGTTTGTAAATAATTTACCGCCATTCAAAGGGTAAAGAATATATGATTCTCTTTTCCTCGCTCTTCACTAATGATTTTTTTGTGAATTTGTAAACATATAAGGATTTGATGTTATGATATGCCACAGAGGAATTAGGAGTTTTGCAATGAGGAATCAAGTGTTTTATAATTGAGAATTAGTTATATGGTTTAATCTTTAAGCATTTTGCAATATTTAACATACTCAAATCCGATAAACTAACCTTGAATAACTCTCTATTTAAAGGAGGCCAAAGCGTTGGATCCAATACAATGCCATAGTGTTATACTAATGATGGGGATGATTAATTGGGGTGGTCCTGGGGATGGTGATTTGCCATGTTAAATGAATCTGCATGGGGCCATAGTAGGTACATGCTCTGCTCAGTTTATCTGCACCAGTAGTTCACTGCACTTGGGCATGGCATCATGGGCAATCCAGTGCATGGATTGCTATAGCAGGAAAAGTGAGGAATAACATGAAGCTTCCCCATGCTTCTGTCTGTGGGGTCACGTGCCATGCCCTTTTTTATTTATTGGTTCAATGCCTTGTCGGCTGTCATGAGTTGCATCCCCATGCAGTGACATGGAGTGACAGTGACCTGGCCAAAAAAAAGTAAAAAAAGGATATGCAATGACAATCGTAATATGCTCTAGTAATTTACTCGGGGGATGTTTGATTTAAGGGATAAAAAGGAACAAAGTAACTTAGATTGGACAAAAGAATTTAATGGCCCGTGAAATTCAGTTTTGGATTTTTTTTTTGAATAGGGTAAACGTTGGGCTAAAAAAATCAGTCCGAATGAAATGAGGTCATTTATCTTGTCTGACCCGATTCAATGTATCCCACCTGAACTTTAGAATAACTAAGCCCATGAATGGAATTAAAGGTAGAATTACACAAAAGCCTTCCAACAGTAAAAATTCTAGGGTTTTTACTTCATTTGCTCTCCACTTCACCTTGGTCCCCTCCTTCCCACAAATGACGCTCTGTGATCCCCCATTGCGAAGGTATTCCACTACCTCTCTCTCACTCACTCACTCTCTCTCTCTCTCACTCACTCACTCACACTTTCTCTCTCTCTCTCTGTGTATATAGATATATATACATATACTTGTATATATCGAAAAAAATGAATTTTTTGTCTGTATTGTAAGGATCTTCTTCCATAAATGTGATTCGTGCTCACCCTCTCTCTCTCTATATATATATATATGTACATAAATCGAAAATGTACATATATATCTTCAAATACATTTATAACGTAAGTGATACATTTGTTGCAGTTCAATAAAGCTGTGGGACCATAGAGAGAGGGCATTTCACCCTAATCAGTTACCTTTATCTTGTATCTTTTTTGTACAAGGCAACACAACTATATATATATATATATAATGACATTATTTTGACTATTATATAACATTCTATTGTGTTCATGATTTGTAAATATGATACGTGACAATCACAATGTGTTGTTTGGTTTGAAACATAATACAGTAACATCGAGTATTGTTGTCATATAGTGTGTGGTGTAACATTAATACAAAAAATAAACTTTGTTTGATTTTGTGTTTTTAAACCAACGGATCAAACATTATTAAAATATTACAAATTTTTTTACACTGTTGATAATATATTAAATCATAATTTTGCTTTGAAGTAAGTATAGCTTATGGTGCAAGGTTATGAGCTGTTTGCTAATAAGATCCTGATTTGAGTCTGATTCTTTAGTATTAGAGAATTTTGTCTTGGGTAGGTGTGGTTGTGCTTGGCTTTCTCTGAATTTTTTAAAGCAGATTAGAGCCTTGCTGAGTCAAGTGGACTTTCAGATGGAGCATGTGTACAAAGAAGCAAACAGTGTTTTTGACAGATTGGCTAATCAAACTGTGCAGGATAAGGTTTCTGTGGATTTTTCTGATTCTGTGAAGCTTCCTAGTGCTGTGAAAATGGTTTTGATGCAGAATTTAAAGAAGTTGTCTGTGTTAAGAACTAGGAGAGTGGTGGTCTTTGATGGTAAGGGTTGAATTTTGGCATTGTAGTAATCTGTTCTGCTACTGCTTTATGCAGCTATTCTGTTTTTTGTTGCAGCTGGTTTAGAAGCTTTGACCTTTGTCTATTCAGCTCATTTGAGAGGGGAAGGTGATGTAGTACCTCTTTTTTGTTGCAGCTGGTTTAGAAGCTTTGACCTTTGTCTATTCAGCTCATTTGAGAGGGGAAGGTGATGTAGTAGCTGTACAGACTTGGGCGGAGTGATTGAAGTTTTATTGATTGATTGTATTGAGAACGGCACTTGGACCTTTCTCAAGTTGATTCTTGTAACCGATTTATTTCTAGAATAATTTTTTTTGATTTGTTTTTAAAAAGGTATAACTTAATAATATTTTATTCATTGTTTCCAAAAAGCTACTTATCCAAACTAATTTTACCCACCACACCTAACCATTTAAACTTGGTACGGATTGGATTAATTTCTTTTACAAAGGTTGCATTGGTCATTTCATTTAGATTTAGTTGGACATGTACATGGGACCCACGGTTTCTATTATTTTTATCCAAATCCAGTATTGCATTGGATAGGGTTGATTTGGATCTAACTTAATGATGATTAATTTGCATTGGGTTGGAATAGATTTGGATTCAAATCCAATCCTCCCATAGCGATCCAAATACCACCTCAAATCTTGATTCAATTTTAAATTTAGGGTTTGATTATAATTTGTTCTCTCCAAAATTTCTTGTAATTTCAAATATTGTAATTTGTTCCCTCTAAGTTTCAAGTGGATTATATTGACTAACAATAGTGGCTGAACACCTGAAAGATTACACCCTCCGTCTTGTATATTATTTTTCATTTGAAATACTAATTTTATCCCTAAAAAGTAATGAACAAAAAAATCAAGATTAAAAAATAATAAAAAAAAAAAACATTCATCTCCGCCTCATCATAAGGAAGGGAGGGTTTCTACCGGAAAGGGGAAGAAAATGAAACTTAACCATTTAAGGTAAGGGAGGATAGAAAGGTGTAAGAGTAAAAGGGGAAAGTATAGATATTTTGGTATGGATATTTGGTGCCGGGGAAAAAATAGGTATAAGGGTAATTATATTTTTTTTTCTTCAAGGTAGGAATCATGTGAATTGGACATTTCTAACTTTTGTCAAATTTTTATTGTCTAAAAATAACTATTGAAGTTAATTAAAAAATATTCAAACTTAAAAAAGATTATTTATTGAAATTAAAACTTGAAGGAATGAGTTGCAAATTACTTAAAATTTTTGAGCCTAAAACTACTTAAAGTTGAAGGGGACATTTTATAATTAACCTTAAAATTTAAGTAAAAATAATTTAAAAACAAGCTCCAATCTTTTATTCAAATTTATATCAATTTAAGTGAGACTTAAATTTTTATTCAAATCAAAGAAAAATCAAATTTTTATTGAAATTTCTAATTGTTAGATGTCAGCTTCTTTTAATTTTTTTTTAATTAAAGTCTATTCATCAAAGTATTTTATATTAAATCAAATTTTTTACTCGTATCTTTTATGCAGCGGCAAGACAATTGAGACGGATGTTCATGGATAAGGCCGACGACTTTTGAAGCGTTACTGAAAAGTCACATTACTTGCAGTTGCAGACACCACCATTCACAATACTTCATCCAAGAGCTGGCCGGTTCACTTAATGCGTTATGTTCCGTTTGGTAAGAGCCATACAAAATAGTAACGATAGAAAGTAGGAAAAATATAATTTTTTAGTTTTTTAAAAAAAGAAAGTAGAAATAATACACTTTCTTTCTTTTGTGTTTGGTTGGATGGATGAAAAATAAAAATAACTATTTTTTTTTTTGTTCTAGCTAAAATTAGGGTAACAATCGAGTCGTATCGTGTCAGATTCATGTTAAGTCAATATAGGTTTGTGTCGAACATTAATCACACCTAACTCAACTCATTTAACTAATTGTATCGTGTCGAGTTACGACTTCACCTATTTATTTTTGTGGCATGTTCGTGTTTCGAGTTAATCAAGTTTGTGTTATAAAATTTATGTCGAGTTCGAGTCGTGTCATCATGTTAAATCAAAAATTTTCACCCCTAGTTAAGATTAAAAAAATATTTTTTTAATTTAAATTTTTAATTTTTATTGTTTTATTTTTGTATTTTTTGTATTTTTTATTTTTAAAATATATTTAAAAATATATATATAAATACTTATTTTATTCTTGTATTTTTATATGAAACTAATGTGTATATATATATATATATATATAAAGATATACAGACAAATAAG